GGCAGCGTTCGTGCCACGGGGCTAGGGAGACCCTACCGGGAAGCCAGCGGAAAAGAGGCTGTGTGGGCCGCCAGCCGAGCCGGGAGCCGCGAGCCGCAGCGCCAGACTCTGCGTGCTTCACTCTTCGGGGTGCTTCACTCTTGGGGGGTGGTCGGCGTTTGAGGCAGGGCTCGAGGGGCCTCGGTGGGGTTCGCCGAGCTGGAACGAGTGGCCCTCCTTGGACAGGGTCCTCGGAGTGAATGTATGAAACTCTGCAGAGGCGCCTCGGGGCTCCTGGGAGGGGAACCTTTATGGGGGAGACCGGGGTGGGGGCGGATCGGGAGCTGGGGTGTCAGGACAGAGCTCCCTGGTCCAGTTGTTGTTGCATCGGGGTTGGGGCCCGAGTCTCGGAGGTGGAAGGCCATTGCTGTGGCCGGATAGAGGCCCTGCGACCCGACGGAGCCACCCCGGAGGAATCGGAGTCCAGGGCAGCTTCCTGCAGCCGCGGGGAAATTCGTGTTTTTCCTCCCTCATTGTCACGGAGATGGAAGCAGCTGGAGAGGAAGCGCCTGCCTCGGCTCCGAGGCCTTGTGATTGTGTATCTTGTGTCTGTGGCCGCGTGTCGGTGTTTTCTTCCTTTGGGATGCTTATGTCATCCTCTTTCCCTCGTCTGACAGACTGAAACTTGCCGGTTTTCTTAATGTGTATGGCGAGGGGGGGAGAATTCAAAGGATCTAGAGGAATCCTGGGTTGGATGAAATTTCCAAGACTGGGAATTGGTCCCCACTCCACCCTGAGGCCATGGAGGCACCTCCATTTCCTCCAGGCTCCCGCGGAGGTGGGTGCTGAGGGCCTGTCATCCACCCTGGGGAGCAGGGAGGGTAGAGCTGCCCCTCCTGCCCACACCTCTCTCTCTCTCTCTCCCTCTCTGGCAGTTTCACCCTCCCCTTCTTTTTGCTAAAGGATTGACTGATACAAAGCTACGTGCTGCCAGGAACAGGAAATGCATGGAGGCACTGGGAATCTGGATGGAGTGAATTCAGATCACACTAGGACTCCCTTCGCCTTTTGGACAAAGGCTCTCAGAAATGCTTGTCCTCCCCGCCCCACCCCCCCGCTTTCTATTAAAGGGAGAAAATGTAATTTTTTTTCTCAAAAAGATTTTGGTAATGTGTGTTTCTTGTATAGAGTAACTGTACACACAGTGTGTTTACTCTGTATCCGGGAGTATTTTTCAAGGAGGAGGGGGCAGTTTCCTACTGGGAGTTTTCCTTCTCCCGTCTCACATAATTCAGTAAAATAAATCAAAGTCAGATGTTCTTTCTTGAGTGGCAATCAGTTGGATTTGGATTTTTTTTCTCTTCACTCTTCTTTAAACTGGTACATCTGGGTGAGCTCAAGCGTGTATATCTTGGCATCTGGACCTGTCCAGTAATAGAAGACAAACTGACTTATTTTGGCTGCCTCTTTGGACCCATTTAACTGGTACCCTTACTTTCCAAAGGGCTGATGAGGAGGAAGGAAGCAAATCTTAAAGGTAGTGTTTCCCCTAGGTAGTTTAAAGTCAGGTGAGAGATAATCACGGCCTTTGAAGCTGATGACCTGAGGACCATCATTTGATGACTTGAGGATTAGCAGTTTGGAGGGGACGTGTTTGAAAGAAAGAGGATTACATGAGGAGGAAAAGATAAAGAAAGGAAGTTTGGTGGAAGGCTGTGCCAGAAATCTTAGGAAGATAAATAAAAAGTAATTGATGTGGCTTTATATTCTCTCAGCAGGAGGGTGAAAATGAAAGCGGGCTGTAGCATCGTGGAAAAGCCAGAAGGAGGTGGAGGTGAGCAGAAGTGAATCATCTCTGGTCTACTTGGAATGTCCCTCCATGGTTCTTTTTCTCTCCACTTGGGCTCTGTTCACAAATGCCAGGCCATGACTGACAGCCTCTTGACTGGGTGGATCCTGCTAGGACAGTTGTAGGCTTGTTTCCTATGTTTGTATATCTAACATGTCTGGTCACAACATTTTTATCCCAAGCTTTAGAATCTCTCTGTTAGAGAGACAGTTCTAATCTTGGGGGTAAGGGTTTTCAGCTGTATTTCCCTAAAACATTCATTTATTTTTCCTATTTGTTCCTTTTGGAACTTGCCTGCCTTCATAGAAAGTAGGCGTGAGGTTAAGTAATGTATGGAAGGGTAAGAGATTAGGACACCTGGGTGCTGCTACCCAGCTCTTATCAGATTTGGTGATTGTCATAAGGAAAGATAACCTCTCTGTGTTTTCCTCTCCCCTGCTGTAGTTAACCCCAGCTGACCGAAAGGGTGTTTATAGCATATTTGCACAGCACTCTAGAGATTCTGAACATTGGAATGTGAAGTCAGAGATAATGGAATGTATGTACCTAGCTCCTGACAACTTTGATCTTGCCCTTTTCACATTAAAGGGTATCAGTTTCCTGATTGGGCCTATAAAACAGAGTCATCCCCAGGCTCCCGGCAGATCCAGCTGTGGCACTTCATCCTGGAGTTGCTGCAGAAGGAAGAGTTCCGCCATGTCATCGCCTGGCAGCAGGGAGAGTACGGGGAGTTTGTCATCAAGGATCCAGACGAGGTGGCCCGCCTCTGGGGCCGCAGGAAGTGCAAACCACAGATGAATTATGACAAGCTGAGCCGGGCCCTCAGGTAACAGAAAGGATCCCCAAATCCATGGTGTCAGTGGGTTGAAAGGAGACTAAGCAGGGTGATGAATGTTAGGTAAAAAGAGTATCAGGTGACAAGAGACTATATTACCTAAGTAAATAATGTGTAGTTTTCAAATGGGAGTAGAAGAGCTGTTGAATCTGAGTAGCAGAGGCACAAAAGGAGAAAAGGCATGTCTTTGGTTATATGCAGGAAGGAATTCCAGTGTTGGCACTGGCTTTTGAAAGACACTGATTCTGTTCTGTAGTGGGTGAGAGTGTGTGGTAAAATGTGGACTGTAGCTCATTTATAATTCAAAAGATTAGTTTAGACTTCCCCTATTGGAAATCTATTAGAATTTCTCTTCTTTAGGTTTTTCTGGAGGAACCTAGAAAAAGAGTGAAGCAAACTCATAGGAGGATTCATTGAATGGTACTGACCTAGCTACATTATTTAGGAACCAGATCTGTGAGTTCAGTTGTCAGTCCATTAGCTGCTCCAACATGTCCAAGATTGATCTATAAGTTTTCTTAGCTTCTCTTTTCCACTTGTCAGTCTTTATATTTCATAACCCTTAGCCCTCCAGGGGCCAGAAGGCAGTTTATGACCTGTGCTAATGAACAGATGCAAGGCTAAAGGTTCCGGATACATTGAAGCTCCTTGAATGAAGTTTTTTCATTCTTAGTGACCCTGAATGTAAAATGTGGGTGGCAGCTTTGCTGGAGCCTCTCACATCACCTTTAAAAGTGAAGCAGACCAAGTTCGGTGCTGTTTTCCAGATCAGGGTATACCATTGTTTGACCTGCCACCATAAAACAGTTCCACATTCCTTCATCTATGGCCTCTAGACTAGCCACATCAGGTGTCCCAAGATACTTGTCTGCCCCCAGCTGGGTAAGGCAGAAAAGAGAAACTAGCTTAGTAACATATAGTGGAACAGGAAGGAAATGTACTATTGGGTTGAAACTAGAGAGAGATGGAAAAGAAAGGTGGTTGGGGCTAGGTTAGGTGTTCATGATCTTAAAATGAGATGTTTTTGTAAAGCTCTAGCCAATGATCAGAACTCAGTTGAAAATTGAATGAAAAGTAAGCTCCTAGGTCTCCCAACCCTAACCTTAGGGCAAATCAGCAAAAGAATGATAGTGATGTTTGCAAGTAATACTTAGAGCAAGAATTGTTGCTCTTAGCGATTACCTAAGTGTACTAACCGTCAGTAGGTAGAAGATAGATTGACATGCATTTCTGTTTTTACAGATACTATTACAACAAGAGGATCCTTCATAAAACAAAAGGGAAAAGGTTTACTTATAAATTTAACTTTAACAAGCTGGTGACGCCCAACTACCCGTTCATCAACATTCGGTCAAGTGGTAAGATGCAAAGTCTCTTGGTGGGGAAAGAATTTTGGGTTGAAAAGGAATCCTGAAAACCCAAGACTAAGACTGGCATGTTTTAAGAGGTTTTCAGAAACACTAAAATAATGTGACTCCTTGAATTGCCTCTGTTCTTGCTCAGGTGTTTCCATTCATCTCATACCAAGAGTGATAAGCTCTGCAGCATCAAGATAAATGGGTTTGGTTTGTTGTTTTGGTTCCCTTTTTTGCATATTTGTAATTTCCTAGATACTATTACTCTATCTTCTTTAGGAATGATGTTCTGTAGGTTTGTGTTGATCTTTAAGTTCAGGACTCAACATTCTACCCAGGGGCTCTTTCATAGATAAGAACCTGTTCCTACAAGCACTTCCGATTTTCTATGAAACTACCAAACTCTCCCTTATCAAGTGAATATCATCAAAACCACAGCATCCTTGATCACAGAAGGGGACGTTCATATGTTTACAGTGAAAAGCAGTGTCTTTGATCTGTACCAACGGCACCTCAGAACAAGACTTGGGGGTTAGTTGACCTTCTCTCAAGTGCAGCAAGGTTTCCCCTCTAGGATCTCTGGTGACAGCTTTTCACCACAGCTCTTCACAGAGGTTTCGGGTCTGCCTCTCTCAAAGCAGAAAGCAGTCTCTTATAAGAGTGTGTTTGTTTGTTGGTGCAAATCGTAACCCTGCCCAATAAAACATTGTGTTAACCAGTTTCTAACCAGCCATCAGTACAGTCTCTGTGGCATTGTATGTTAAGGCAAAGAAATCTAATTGTGATTCTGCAATATTGCGACTTCTCACAGAAAAGTTGGAAACAACCTGAAAAATTAGAACGGGGGTGTGGCTGAGAGAATATAATGCTGAGATCCATTGCAGATACCTAATTACTACACACAACAAGTTAGAGCAGTTTTAGCTTGATGCAGCTATCATTACATTTCCATCTTAAAGCCACTCCCTCCTGTCCCTGGGGCATACATTTGAAAAAAAAAGTGGTATTGGAATGTATCTCTCTAATTACAACCTGTTTTCTTTCCTTGTGCCTGAGGGAGAGGCGTTAGGAAATCAAACCTGTTCTAGCCACTGGAATTCCATTTCCTCTATTCACTCTTGCTCCTTCCTTGTACATCTAGAGTAATTGGGACTCTAAGTAGGCATACCAGCAATTTTGAAGAAGGTGTTGATGTTCACTGCCATACCACTCCCCCCAAAAAGGCTTTAATGGTCTTGTTCTTCTGTCTTGCACCCATTCTTGTCTGTTGAAAACTCAGAAGTCTAGCATTGGACAACCTGGAGTGGGGCGTCCATCAGCCCTTGGGAGTAATATGCTTTTCCAAGGCAAGGAAATCTGGACTCTCACTTTGTGAAGACTCTGGTCTAGAGACCTAACAGTAGTAGCCTGGCACAGCTCATTCTGCCTGAAGGCAATGGAACCAACATTGACCCTCAGCTAAGCTCCGAGATCCTAATCAGGGAAGTCACAGGAAAAGCAGAGCAGTGTGTATTTCCTTTAGGCACACTGCGGGATTGCTTACTCCTGGATACAGATAGCTCCAAAGAACGTCATTTGTTCACAGAGACCTTTTACCCAGATAGACCAAATGTTGTTTCAGTTTAACTTTTTATGACAAAAGAAATACAACATTTATTGAACATACATCTACTTAACAAAGGTACCTTAGTGTTAAGTGAATTATTTCATTCAACTCTGCTAGTCCGGTAAAGTATATGTCTCGGTATCATTTTATAAATGATAAAATTAAGGATGACGTCAGTCAAAGATTGATCAGGGTGGTTTGAATACAGTTAGCTGTTGAACAGCTTCTTAGGAAACAATACCTGAGAAATAGAGCTACTGAAATTCAGTTCTTATTTACTAAATCAACCATTCTTCCTCTGGATTGAGATTCATTCATTTAGTCAACACATAATGTATTAAACCCTAGAGACCAAAAAATAAAAATTAGGGAGAGGCACTCTTTCCTCGAGGAACTTACAGTTTATCAGGAGAGATAAGATATAGTAGGTTTAATACAATTCAGAATGTGGAATGTGATAAGCACTCTAAGAAGTAGGGCTGTATGGATTTAGATCTTGGAGGCCAGAGAGATCATGTCTAGATGGTGGGTTGATATAGTTGGCCTGTTTTGATCTGTGTGTTTTTAAGCATGAGGCAATACGTGCTGGTTGTAACATATCCAAATAATACAGAAGTTCATAGAGTAAAAGTAAAGTGAATGTTCTCCCTTCCCCACAATCTTACTCTTAACAGTTTAGGGGAGAGTACTTAACATTTGAATAGTATTGAAAATACTTCTACATATAGTATCTCATTTTTTACCATTAAAAGTGTCTTGTAAAATATTAAATATATCTTAAATATTTACTTGCATAATAAACAAAAGAAAGATACAGAAGATACTAGTAAAAGTGATAACCCCAAAAGAATTTTTAAAAAAAGATAGCCTGTCAGAGTGTGGGGGCAGGACGTGCCAGTTCAAGGATGGGCTTGAGCCCTCACTCTATGCCTCCCACCACCACCCCAAGTTGTTTATATATACCTTTATTTTTGAAAACTTTAAACCTACAGAAAAATTGGTAAAACAGTGAACAGCCACATGTTTAAGTCTTGAGATTAAGTTGTGAACATCATGACACTTCGCCCCCATATACTTCAGCATGGATCTCCCAGGTACAAGGACTGGGAGATTCACCTCCATAACCACAGTAATATTACAACTCCCCAGGAAGTTTAACATTGCTCTAATACTATTATCTAATATATGGTCCATATTCAAATGATATATGCCTTTTAAAAGTTATTACTTTTGAACCATGATTATTATCTAATAAATTACTTATTTTGAAAAATACTTATATGCCTTTTGCTATGAGCTGATGCTATTCTAAGATAAAATTATTTAGGAGACAGGGCCTTCTACATTATGCTTAATGTTATTAAGTCCTTCAGAACACACAGAAGTGGGGATTTTTTTACTTTTGATTTGATGTGCTCTTATTTAAAAAATCAAGATAGAAAAGACTCAAAAAGAATGGAATTTTAGCCACTGTTATAGACTGGAAGAAGAGAAACTTTTGGCCTGGGACCCTTGTGACTCTACTCAAACCTAATTGTAAGATTCAATCAGTAGCTGTAGGGAAAACAGTCCTGTATTTTCTGTGAAGCATCGGTTTGGGAAATGCTGCTCTGGCAGAGTGTTACTCAGTCATATGTGCCTAGAAAGCTAGTCTTGCACACACCAGCAGACTCCAGAGTCATATCTGAGGAAGACTCCATTATACAAATAGCAGAAGGCAACTGTTTGGAAGTGATGCCTAACCACACTGTCTTATGCGCTTTTTTGTTTCTTCTACATCACCATACTTTTACTTATTTGGATTTTTCTTACCTTTTTCTTTGCCCTTTTTTCCGTCTCCCTTATCTCTGTCTCAGAATGAAAAGAGCCCTCCTGACATCTGCAGTGATAGATATCGATAATTTTTTCTAGGAACCCAAAGGGTCTCTGAGGCCTTGGCTTGCAACCCTTCCTTATGCCCTTTTTTTTATCAGAAGGGCCTTCTGGGGAGTTGAGAACTTATATGAGTGTCTGAAGTTGACATGTCTAGCATGCTGTTGGTAGCTTAGAGCTTCACATTTTAGCAGGTAGCCTTGGTAGTGTGAGTATTAGGTCCTGGATTTCACCCAGCCTTCTCCATGCTTGAAAAGTATTAAAAGCAGGTTTGGAATGGAGATCATTATATAAATTTGTTAGAGAAATATAGATTTGGAGAGATTGAAACATTTAAGTTTCTATGAAGTGGTTATTGTATATCAGAAATGATAAAACATATACCATAAGAACTTAATAAACATGGCTTTTGTTTTAAAATTCTGTTTTTATTCTTAAAATATGCCTTGTTTGTGTCCATATATGTTAGGTGCAGGGTCTTTGGTCTTTTTTGTTGTTGTTGTTAATCCTCACCCAAGGAGATTTTTCCATTGATTTTTAGAGAGAGTGGAAGGGAATGGGAGAGATGGAGAGCAAGGAACATTGATGTGAGAGAGACACATTAATTGGTTACCTCCTGCACGTGCCCCGACCAGGGTCTGGGATTGAGCTTGCAACCGAGGTACATGCCCTTGACTGGAATTGAACCCTGGACCCTTCAGTCTGCGGACCAATGATCTATCAACTGAGCCAAACCAGCTAGGGCAGTGGTCGGCAAACTGCGGCTCTTTGGCCCCTTGAGTGTGGCTCTTCCACAAAATATCACGTGCGGGCGCGCACGTACAGTGCGATTGAAACTTTGTGGCCCATGCGCAGAAGTCGGTATTTTGTGGAAGAGCCACACTCAAGGGGCCAAAGAGCCGCGTGTGGCTCGTGAGCCGCAGTTTGCCGACCACTGAGCTAGGGCATCTTTGGTCTTTTAATGCATTGCTTTACATGAATGTAATTTTTAATTTTGTTTGTGGATTTATTTTGTATTTATTTATTTATTTATTTATTGGTTTGGTGTGTTTGCTTGCTTTATAGATAGGGCCAAAATTGTGAAAATAAGAAAAGGCTATTTGCAAAGCTGAGAATTAAAACAGGTGATATACACACAGTATTTAGAGTTGCAGAGGAGAAGGCTCTTGTACCCATTCATTCATTCAACTAATAGTTATTGAGCACTTACTCATTGTTAAGCCCCAAACTGCTGGAAATGTAGTTGTGAACAATTGGAAGTCCCTGCCTTTGTGGAATTTATGTTTTAGAATACCGATAAACAGGTAAATCATATTTCAAATAGCAAAGTGTACTGTGAAGATAACGTGAGTAAGAGGCTACAGAAAGATGGCAACTAAATTGAGAAGAGGAAGCTAAGCAGTAGTTACTAGGGAGACAGGGAGCTAAGGGAATCAGTCCAGCTGGAGTGTTTCCTGTTGTTCCTAAACATCTTGTACTTGTTTAGCGTAAGTAAAAGTGATGATCATGAATTACCAGACCTGAGGTAGCCTTTTGTTTTTTCTTCCTCCACAGGTGTGGTTCCCCAGAGTGCACCACCAGTTCCAACAGCCTCTTCCCGGTTCCATTTCCCACCTCTGGACACTCATTCTCCAACTAGTGACGTGCAGCCGGGGCGGTTCTCTGCTAGCTCCCTAACTGCTGGTCAGGAGTTGAGTAATGGCACTGATAGAAAGGCGGAGCTTTCGGAGCTGGAGGATGGCTCAACCGCTGACTGGCGCCGGGGTGTGGATCTCATGTCCTCCCGGAATGCTGTTGGTGGAGGAGGGATTGGCCATCAGAAACGCAAGCCTGACATCATGCTTCCTCTGTTCAGTAGGCCAGGGATCTACCCTGACCCCCATAGTCCCTTTGCTGTCTCTCCAATCCCTGGCCGAGGAGGTGTCCTTAATGTTCCCATTTCACCAGCCCTCTCCCTGACTCCCACTATCTTCTCCTATAGCCCATCACCAGGCCTGAGCCCTTTCACCAGCAGCAGTTGCTTTTCCTTCAACCCTGAGGAAATGAAACACTACCTTCATTCTCAAGCCTGTTCTGTGTTCAACTACCATCTGAGTCCCCGGACATTTCCCCGTTACCCAGGGCTCATGGTTCCACCACTGCAGTGCCAAATGCATCCTGAAGAGTCAACCCAGTTTTCTATCAAGCTGCAGCCCCCACCAGTTGGGCGCAAGAACCGGGAGAGGGTAGAGAGCAGGGAGGAGTCAGCACCTGTCACTGCTCCCACCATGGCGCCTGTGCCCCCAAGAATTAAGGTAGAGCCAGCCTCTGAAAAGGATCCTGAGAGTCTCAGGCAGTCAGCCCAAGAGAAGGAGGAGCACTCTCAAGAGGGCACAGTGCCAAGCAGGACCATAGAGGAGGAAAAAGGCACCATCTTTGCCCGCCCAGAGGCACCACCTATCTGGCCCTCTGTACCCATTAGCACACCAAGTGAAGAACCCCTAGAAGTGACTGAAGACAGTGAAGATAGGCCTAGCAAAGAGCCCAGTGCGCCTGAGAAGAAAGAAGATGCCCTGATGCCCCCCAAGCTTCGGTTGAAGCGGCGCTGGAATGACGACCCTGAAGCCCGAGAGCTGAGAAAGGATGGCAAGTTCCTCTGGAATGGGTCAGGACCACAGGGCTTGGCGACGGCAGCTGCTGATGCTTAGAATTGCAAGTGGATTGGGAGCTGTTTATACTATAATCATATACATGTATTTATGTAGCAAGATTTCGGGGCGGGGGGGGAGGGCATTAGCTGGTTTGATCATTCTAGGAGCATAGACTTGTATTTTTATGTTTTGGGAATGGGATTGGGCATCTTCTGTTGTAAATTAGGTGAGACATGAACACACTTTTTTTCCTGGTGAGGAGGACACAGGAAGGGTATTGAACTGAAAGGAGAAAGGGCCTCTATTTCCTATTGAGGCTAATACTTTCTGAACAAACTCCCAAAGGGCCAAGACACTGTTTGGTCCCATGATGTTCAGGTTCCAGACTTCTTTCTTTTCTACTGTATTTATATATAGGAAAGCCATTAATGAGTTTATTTTGCTCTGAGAGTTACATATAAAGGGGAAAGGGCATGGTTGGGAGGCGAAAGACCATTAATACTCAGTATTTGCCTGAGATGTTTCTTTGTAATTATTTCAGGGGGAGAATAAGATATTCTCATCTTACTGGGGTAGGGCGATTGGGGTGTTCAGATGTTGCTTTTTTTTCTTTTTTTCCTTTGTTGTTTGGCATTTTTTTCTTTTCCTCTAAAAAATGTTTTCAGGAAACATGAAACATACTGCCAGTTAGAGTGGAGCAGGCACTGAGCCTGGCTACATGGTTGAGACAGGAAGCCCTGCTGTGAATTTCTTGGACTTTTCACCTTCACCTATTAAGAAGCCATGAGGAGTTGTAAACTCTTATTCAGGGAAGAAAGAAGAGGGCAGGAGGAAGTAACCCAACGCCTTTACAAACAGAACAAACACAAAAATATCCTTTATTTTTCCTTTTCCATCATGGGTCTGGGGAGCCAAACCAGAATATGGCTGTAGCGAGTTCACTGAAAGGCATGACACTGGTAAAGATGTGTTTTTGTTGTCTGGCTCTGTTAGCATTTTCTTCAGTCAAGCCTTAACAATGAACATACTTTAACATGATACGGGTCTGTCAAAATAAACCTATAAAAGGACATGAACAACTTTTCAGATAATCCAAGAATTTTAAAGCATGATTAAAGTTTGAGCTAATATTTAGTCATCCTCTCTAGATGTTATTGGGATGGATAGTAAAAAGGCAGGATTATAGGAATGAAAGACAGATGATACCTGGAAATGCAGAAGGTAGCTGGGGGTACAAGTGGAGGTTTATTGAACCTGAAGGAATAGTTAGATAAAGAAAGCAACCAGATGTCAAAAGGCCTGATATGAATGAAAGTTGGTGTTTGTCCCGTTGTGGCATTACCATTCTTGCCATACCATTTCCCTAGCCCAGTGGTCGGCAAACCGCGGCTCGCAAGCCCCATGCGGCTCTTTGGCCCTGTGGCACGGGCCACGAAGTTTCAATCGCGCTGTACGTGCGCGCCCGCACGTGGTATTTTGTGGAAGAGCCACACTCAAGGGGCCAGTTTGCCGACCACTGCCCTAGCCCATTCTAATACTCATGATCAATTGACTATCCTATATGAGACTCCAGTTTACAGACAATGAGGAATTGTTCCATCAACTTCAAAGGAATGGGGAAGTACTGATTTTCTAGGAAGGGAAAGGAACCTGGACTAGAGGCAGAGAGAGAAGCCACAGCCAGCTCTGTATGCATGTGCCCATGTAACTAGTATGTGGAAACACCTAACTGTGGCTCAAAACACCTGGCAGCAGGGAGAGAAGGAACTCCATATCGGATAGGGGCAAGGAGTGGGCACAGGGATGCTGTCGAGGAATGGAGAAATTCCTGACTCCACCTTAACCTACGTGAGCTCTTCTAAGAAGCACTGGAGGGTTGTCTTTCAATGTTGGCAGGTGGTTGTTCTTTTTTAAAGGAGAGCATGCGTGAGGGGCTCAGGGAAGGTTAGAGCAGGTGAGTGAGTTACTAGGTGGTTTGGGATGACGAGCCCATCATGCAGATTTTGGGGGCAAGTGCCCTCCCCCTTGTTTAATTCAAATTCCATGAGTAACCTGTCTTTCCCTGGGAAAGGGACTGACAGAGCAGTCCCTAAGGACTCAGGCTTTGGTCAGGCTGCATAGGGCTCCCTGTTCAGGGTATCTTTGGTTGGTTATGTTTTTGTCAGTTACTTTCTCTGCACCTCAACTTACCTCTAATCGGAAAGCAAGCCCGGGCATGTGGAGGAGGTATGTCTTCTTGTCATTGCCCAATCTAACCAGGGAGGCTGGCTGGCCACCCTCCCTGTCCACTAGAGGGGAGAGCCAGCAGGTATCGGTATTAACTCAGGAATAGAAACATGAGGCCTTTAAATAAGAGGGAAAGAAATCCATGTTGCATACCTGTGACCCCCTAGAGCCCAAGTGCCAGAATTCCTAGATGCTGCTTCTGTTTGAACAAAAAGTCACTGTTTTTACACTTGAAAAAAAAAAAAACTCAAAAAATGTTCAAGTCCATGAAAATGTTTTTGGCTTTAAGAAATTATTTGGTGTTTAACTGTTTCCTTTGATTGCCATTCCACCAGTAAATTGTTGGTCAATTTGCACTGCACACTGGGGTTGGGGTGGAGGGGAGGGTCCTTTATAATAGAGCCAAACTTGGGCTTGCTCAGGAAGTGGACCAGGGAATGTGGAGGTGGGTCATTCCTGGGGTGAAGGGGTGGGAGTTACTTTTTCTCCCCCCAGCCTGCTCCTGGCAGCACCTGTCACCAGCCTGGCACAAAGCCAGCCTTTACTTTTCTGTGAGCATCTTATCACTGTCCAACAGCAGATAGGAAAAAGGGGGGTGAAACCAGACCTATTTTCTCCCTCAGTTTTTCTGGATTTTGCTGTGCCAAATGTTTAAAACTTTACAAATATGAATCTTGAAGTCTTATTAATCAAGAATTTGTGCAGACAGTTTGCTTTTTTTTGACTATTGAAAAGAGAGAATAGTAGAGGTCAATCTTAAACAATTCACCAATCCCTTCACCCCCACATTTTCAAGCTGCACTGCATTAAACCCAACTCACTAACACAGGGAATTACTGCACCCTAGTCCTCCATGGGCCAAGAAACTCAGAAGCATTAAAAATATAGTTGTATTTCACTTCTCACCAAGTGGGTAGAGTGCGTTGGCTATTTGTCCCCCTTTTTTAAAAAATTTCCCTAATTATGTTTGTGCTTTTTGTTTTATAAACAGTAAAGAAGTTTTAATTCTGTTAAAGAGAACTTTGATCCAGTCTTTTAAGAACTGTTCCATTTTTAGTTACTTGTTGAAAAAAAAAAGTTACCATTTAATTTGTTTTTAAATATTTAGGCATTATTTGAGTTATAAAATTGTGATGCAGGGAATTGTGAGATATTCACATGTGAAAAATGACTTCACTAGTTAGCTTAAGCAGAATAAAGTGTGTATATGTACATAAAATGTAAGTAATCTTAACTCCATTGTGCAGTGCCTTTTAGATGTTCCGCTTTCTATAAAGTCTTCAAATTTTTGCATATATATTATATATATGATGTAATGTTATAGAAATATATGTATAATATACATATTTTTTTCCAGGGGTATCTGATAGCTCTGTATTTTGTTATGGAAGTTGAAAGAAAAAAGTATTTTACCTCAGAAATTAAAGTTAAATAAAAAAAATACTTTTAAATACGGAGTGTTGTTGTCGTTGACACACTAAGCCAGGGTAGTTAAGCCAGGGGTTTTGCAGAGTCTGCTTTTATTCCTATGATATAGGTACCAGCATATAGTGAGAAGATAGGTCTCCTAATAGTTCTGAAGTGGCAGTTTTCTTGAGTCAATGGCTACTGCTAGGTAAAGGACACAGAAGCCTGGGACACAAGTTAGCAGGGAAATTTCTACCTCTAGATTGAGGGTTCATTAAGAGTACATGCACAGCCAGTCACAACAGGCCCACTTTGTATGGTTTTATAACATGTCCAGAGTAGACAAATCCATAGAGATAGGATATAGATTAGCGGTTGCCAGGAAGAGTGGAGAGTGATGCCGATGGGTTACATTTTGGTTTGGGAGATGATGAAAATGTTCTGGAATTAGTGGTGATAGTTGTACAATTTGGATAAGTGAAACACTGAATTACAATCGCTCTAGGGTGAACTTTATGGTAAGTGAATAATATCAGTAAAGGTGGTTTTGTTGGTGGTGGTTTAAGTACATGGCAAGCCAGTAGAGGACAGGAATCCAGAGGGTAGGCGGAGATCTTGGTGGGGTACTGAACATCACAGAACACACCCTAAGAAAAATGCTGCCAGACCGAGTAACCTCATTTCATCCTGGAGATAAAGTGACCTAAAGATCCCAACATTTGTAGAATCATAGCCTGGTGTTCATTTGACTTCCATGTAAGAGTCCTGTGGGTCAGGAAGACTGGAATTGAGGGCGAATCTGAAGAAGACAACCAGGACGGATTATGGAGGGTCTGAGGAGATGCCAAAGAGTTTACATTTTATCTCACTAGTAATGGGCATCCCCAATATTTTGCAAAAGCGTTTGGGGTAGGCCAATGAACATGAAGGCCACAGCCCTGAGAAACTGTAACCAGCCTGTTAATGTCTGCTCAAGAAGACTATTCAACTCATTAAAGTGGGGAAAAGTGAAGTGACCAGGCTGACTGGTTGATTCTCTGAAGCAGACCGAGTCCAGCTCAGAATGGGCTTGGATGGAGACCCTCCTGCTAGGAAAGCTTCCTGCTTCTTTCCCTTCCTCATGCTACTGAAAGCGAAAGGAGACTTCCGTTAGAAGCGAAATTGCATCTAGTTTTGAGATCAGATCCCAGGTATCTGGTTCTGCCACCCTCTGTTGACCGCTCATTGCATAGAATTGGATGATGATGATTCATATTCAGAGCCTAGGAGTGAGGGTGACCAGAAGGGAAGAAGTGGTGAGGGAACAGATGGGTTCTGAGGGTGCGAACACTGTATGGGGACAGAGGGTGATAGGAAAGGGTGTCTCAGAGCCTGTCAAGATAAGTGAGTAGGAAATACAGCTTTAAGTGGCTCCCTATTTACAGTCCTTAGTGTAGTTTAGAAGGCCCTTCATAATCTGGCCCCTTAACCACACACAGGTACATGCACATACGCTCCCAACCCACACATTGCCAAAGTGACTGCAACCCCAACATCCAGTGAACAGAGATTTGCCACGTGCCAGGCACAATTAAGGGCGTCTCATTAACTCATTTAATCCTCATGAGGAGAACAATGAGTCACAGAGACATTAACTGATATGAACAGGGTTCAAGCCCCAGTACCGGTGCCTCAATTATCTGCCATAAATCCTCTTGACCCTGCTGAACTGCTGCTGATCTGGTCCCTCTCACTGCCTGGACCACCCTTTTTCCTCCACTTCCCGCAGCCCATTGCATCTTATCCTTCAGAATCCCACTCAGGTCATCACCTCTGGGGGCCTTTCCTGGGCACTCTTCTGTGTTGTGCCACAGCCCATGTTGACCTCTGCACCATCGCCCTTCC